AGATGAAGATAAAGCTTCTAGACTACTGACAGATAAATTATATATTCTGAATGGAAAAAAGAAAGTTTTAAAATGGCGCTGATTCCTTCAGAAAATGCTGATTTATTTAGAAATGTGAAAAATATTAGTTACAATAAAATTTGATTTCGTTATGTCAGTATTAGTCGCGATTAGAACTATGTAAAATATATCGAACTTTGTTTTACATTATATTTGAAATCGTAGTATTCGATATGAAAATAACCAAAAGTGTTTTGTTAATTTCTAAAGCATTTAAAAGTGTATTAATACCATCATCTGTAATATGCTCATTTCTAAACATTGACAAATGGGTTAATATTGAATTTTCAGTTAATACTTTTGAAAGTTCTGATAAACCTTTATCAAAAAAACCACATTCATCGATATCGAGTCTAATTAAACTTTTATTGAGCTTTAATGCTTTGGCAATCGATACTAAACCATCATCTGTCAATGAATTTCCACTAATATTTAGATACAAAAGTGTTCTGGTTATTTCTAACATCGATGCTGTTACTTTTGCACCATGTAAACTAATTTTATTATGACCAATATTAAAGACACTTAGTGTTTTATTTAATGCTAATGTATGTGAAATACATTCCATACTTATATCTGATATTTCATTTCAATATAATGATAATTAAAGTAATGATGTATTGTCACATACATCATACATGCATACATCATCGGATACATGGCAAAATGACAATTTTAAAACTGTCAATATTTGATTAATATTTAATGACCTAAAAATTGTCTCATCTATTTCATGTGTTCTTCTATCGAAATAGTTAAAACTAATGTAAAGTTCTAAAGTAGTTAAAGAATTATTTACTTCTAATACATTTGATAATGATTATATACTATTATAAGAAATATTCAAACCAGTTTTAAATATATTTAATGTACTGTTTAATAATTTTAATACATTAACAATTCTTTGAATACCATTATCCGATATATTGTAACTAATATAGACAAGAAACTCTAATTTTTTATTAATTTTTAATACATTTTCGAAATTAAATGTAACATCATCGTGGTTGACGGAAAACGTCGAGAGGAAAAATGTCGAAAAGGAAAATGTCGATAAAAAACGAGCAGAACGTTGAAGAGGAAAATGTAGAAGAACAAAATGCAGAAAAGGCAAACGTCGAAAGCGAATAATGGAAGAAGGAAAATATCGAAACGAAAACGCCGAAAAGTAGAAGATTTCTTTCTGTTCCTTTGAAAATCACTGAAAGAGATATTTTATTAAACTACATAGAGAAAGAGAGTAGAAGAGAAATGATAAGGCCAATAGATCGTGAACTAACTTTTCGTTTATCCAAATCAAGAACGATAATCCAGCCAGTAGCTGTTTTGCATTAAATTCTCTGTTGAGAAATCATCCATTGAGTGTGCCAAATCGTTGTTGGAAAGCTGCTGTATTTCCTGATTGGTTTGGGGCTGATGTCCCCGGTGGGGTGAGGGTGAGGCGTTCATCGTAACAGCCATACTAAACTTCATCATACTTTACTCTTTCCACGAGTGGCTATAATTAGTACGAGGTTGGGGATGTCTGATGAGAACCAACAGTAGTGATAATAATACGTATATCTCATTCATTTTCAAGGAACAGAAAGAAATCTCCTCCTTTTCGACATTTTTCCTTTCGATATTACCCACCAAGACTACATCATCGGTTACATCATTGATGCTTATACCAGGATAAATGTTATTGCATTGTCACTCATATTAACTTGTATTAAACTATTTAATATATTTAATAATTCTGCAAGAGCTAGAGCACCTGCATCACCTATTTTGTTCTTGCTAATATCAAGAACACGCAATAATTGATTTTCTTTTAATGAATTTATAATCATTGATCCATCTATCTGATATATATCACAATAATTTAGATTAATATAAATTATTGTTCTTATAGTACTCAATATTTTTATTATCATTCTAAAACAATCTTTAGTCATATTAATTTCTAAATCTAAATATTTCATATTTGATTTTTGTAATGCATCAATAAATTGAATTAAGAATGTTTCACCAACAATACATCCTTCAAGAAATAGTCTATAAAAACGAAATCCATCATCGATTATTTTACAAAAACGATTTAACGCTTTATTATCAATAAATTCTCTTAACATTAAAGTACTTGTTTTTAGATCAAATATTATATTAATTGATCGAAATTCATTTATATGGTGGATTTTTGTATTGCAATGATTACGGCATACCCGACGGATAGTGTCTTTTTTGTTAAAATACGACATAAATTAGCGAGTGTACAGCAACATCTATACCAGTATGTACTACTAAACAAAACCTCGCCCTGAATTCCAATGTTTTTCATATATATAAGATCGATTTACTGAAAATAAAACATATTGGCGTTTGCATATATTATAATTCTCAAAACTGTCATGCTCGTCTCCATACAAGTAATATTACCAATAATATTACTGTTAAACTTTCCCGTAACGTTTTTCAACTGTTCATGAGACAAAAAGTTTAATAGATAAATTATAGATTTAGAAGGTATAGCGGTAGGAATAATAAAGTAAAATAATTTGTATAAGACCGCAACAAAATACATATTAAGAATTTTAACTAAATTCAATAATTTTATTTGTCGATTTCGAGCTTTCGGTACTGA